GGGTCGACGACAACTACTCTTTCACCTTCTACAACACCTGAGGAATCTACTACTACAACAGAAGGGTCGACAACAACTACTGTTTCACCTTCCACAACACCTGAGGAATCTACTACTACAACAGAGGGGTCGACGACAACTACTGTTTCACCTTCGACAACACCTGAGGCACCGACCACTACAACAGAAGGGTCGACAACAACTACAGTATCACCTTCTACTACACCTGAGGAGGCTACTACCACAGCAGAGGGGTCGACAACAACTATTGTTTCACCTTCAACAACTCCTGAGGCTTCTACCACTACAACAGAAGGGTCAACAACTACCACTGTTTCTTCCACGCTAACGTCTGAGGCGGCCACTACTACATCAGAAGGGTCGACAACAACAACTCTTTTACCTTCTACAACACCTGAGGAATCTACTACTACTACAACAGAAGGGTCGACAACAACTACTGTTTCACCTTCGACAATTCCTGAGGCATCTTCCACTACAACAGAAAGGTCGACGACAACTACTATTTCACCTTCGACAACACCTGAGGAACCGACCTCTACAACAGAAGGGTTGACAACAACTACAGTTTCACCTTCGACTACACCTGAGGCGAATACTACCTCAACAGAGGAGTCGACAACAACTACTGTTACACCTTCCACAACACCTGAGGCATCTACTACCACAACAGAGGGGTCGACAACAACTACTGTTTCACCTTCAACAACACCTGAGGAATCTACTACTACATCAGAAGTGTCGACAACAACTACTGTTTCCTCCACGTTAGCACCTGAAGAGCCCACTACTACAACAGAAGCGTCGACAACAACTACTGTTTTACCTTCTACAACACCTGAGGAAACTACTACTACAACAGAAGGGTCGACAACTATTACTGTATCACCTTCGACAACACCTGAGGCATCTACTACTACAGCAGAAGGGTCGACAACAACTACTGTTTCACCTTCGACAACTTCTGAGTCATCTACCACTACAACAGAAGGGTCGACAACTACCATTGATTCTTCCACGCTAACGCCTGTGGAGTCCACTACTACAACAGAAGGGTCGACGACAACTACTCTTTCACCTTCTACAACACCTGAGGAATCTACTACTACAACAGAAGGGTCGACAACAACTACTGCTTCACCTTCGACAACTCCTGAGGTATCTACCACTACAACAGAAATGTCGACAACAACTACTGTTTCCTCCACGTTAACGCCTGAAGAGCCCACTACTACAGAAGGGTCGACAACAACTACTGTTTCACCTTCGACAGCTCCTGAGGGATCTACCACTACAACAGAAGGGTCGACAACTACCACTGTTTCTTCCACGCTAACGCCTGAAGAACCCACTACAACAGAAGGGTCGACGACAACTACTGTTTCAACTTCTACAACATCTGAGGAATCAACTACTACAACAGAAGGGTCGACAACAACTACTGCTTCACCTTCGACAACTCCTGAGGTATCTACCACTACAACAGAAAGGTCGACAACAACTACTGTTTCCTCCACGTTAACGCCTGAAGAGCCCACTGCTACAACAGAAGCGTCTACAACAACTACTGTTGCACCTTCGACAACTCCTGAAGTATCTACCACTACAACAGAAGGGCCATCAACTACCACTGTTTCTTCAACGTTATCGCCTGAACAACCCACTACAACAGAAGGGTCGACAACAACCACTGTTTCTTCCACGCTAACGCCTGAAGAAACCACTACTACCAGAGAAGCGTCTACAACAACTACTCTTCCACCTTCTACAACACCTGAGGAATCTACCACTACAACAGAAGGGTCGACAACAACTACTCTTTCACCTTCTACAACACCTGAGGAATCTACCACTACAACAGAAGGGTCGACAACAACTACTCTTTCACCTTCTACAACACCTGAGGAATCTACCACTACAACAGAAGGGTCGACAACAACTACTCTTTCACCTTCTACAACACCTGAGGAATCTACCACTACAACAGAAGGGTCGACAACAACTACTCTTTCACCTTCTACAACACCTGAGGAATCTACTACTACAACAGAAGGGTCGACAACAACTACTCTTTCACCTTCTACAACACCTGAGGAATCTACTACTACAACAGAAGGGTCGACAACAACTACTCTTTCACCTTCTACAACACCTGAGGAATCTACTACTACAACAGAAGGGTCGACAACAACTACTCTTTCACCTTCTACAACACCTGAGGAATCTACTACTACAACAGAAGGGTCGACAACAACTACTGCTTCACCTTCGACAACTCCTGAGGCATCTACCACTACAACAGAAGGGTCGACAACTACCACTGTTTCTTCCACGCTGACGCCTGAAGAACCCACTACAACAGAAGGGTCGATAACAACTACTGTTTCCTCCACGTTAACGCCTGAAGAGCCCAGTACTACAACAGGAGCGTCTACAACAACTACTGATTCCCCTTCGACAACAACTGAGGAATCTACTACTACAACAGAAGGGTCGACAACTACCACTGTTTCTTCCACGCTAACGCCTGAGGCGTCAACTACTACATCAGAAGGGTCGACGACAACTACCTTCTCACCTTCTACAACACCTGAGGAATCTACACCTACAACAGAAGGGTCGACAACAACTGCTGTTACACCTTCCACAACACCTGAGGAATCTACTATTACAGCAGAAGGGTCGACAATAACTACTGTTTCACCTTCCACAACACCTGAGGAATCTACTACTACAGCAGAAGGGACGACAACAACTACTGTTTCGCCTTCGACAACACCTGAGGAATCTACTACTACAACAGAAGGATCGACATGTTTCACCTTCGACAATTCCAGAGGAATCTACCACTACAACAGCAGGGTCGATAACAACCACTGTTTCTTCCTTGCTAACGCCTGAGGGGTACACTACTACAACAGAAGGGTCGACGACAACTACCGTTTTACCTTCGACAACACCTCAGGCACCGACCACTACAACAGAAGGGTCGACAACAACTACAGTTTCACCTTCGACTACACCTGAGGACATTACTACCACAACAACCACTGTTTCACCTTCAACAACACCTGGGGAATCTAGTACTACAACAGAAGTGTCGACAACAGCTACTGTTTCCTCCACGTTAACGCCTGAAGAGCCCACTACTACAACAGGAGCGTCTACAATAACTACTGATTCACCTTCGACAACACCTGAGGCATCTACTACTACAACAGAAGGGTCGAGAACAACTACTGTTTCACCTTCGACAATTCCTGAGGAATCTACCACTACAACAGAAGGGTCGACAACAACTACTGCTTCACCTTCGACAACTCCTGAGGCATCTACTACTACAACAGAAGGGTCGACAACAACTACTGTTTCACCTTCGACAATTCCTGAGGAATCTACCACTACAACAGAAGGGTCGACAACCACCTCTGTTTCTTCCACGCTAACGCCTGAGGCGTCCACTACTACAACAGAAGGGTCGACGACAACTACTGTTTCGCCTTCGACAGCACCTGAGGAATCTACTACTACAACAGAAGGGTCGACAACAACTACTGTTTCTTCCACGCTAACGCCTGAAGAACCCACTATAACAGAAGGGTCGACGACAACTACTGTTTCAACTTCTACAACAACTGAGGAATCTACTACTACAACAGAAGCGTCGACAACAACTACTGCTTCACCTTCGACAACTCCTGAGGTATCTACCACTACAACAGAAAGGTCGACAACAACTGCTGTTTCCTCCACGTTAACGCCTGAAGAGCCCACTACTACGACAGAAGCGTCTACAACAACTACTGTTTCACCTTCCACAACACCTGAGGAATCTACTACTACAACAGAAGGGTCGACAACAACTACTGTTTCACCTTCGACAATTCCTGAGGAATCTATCACTACAACAGAAAGGTTGACAACCACCACTGTTTCTTCCACGCTAACGCCTGAGGAGTCCACTGCTACAACAGAAGGGTCGACGACAACTACTGTTTCACCTTCGACAACACCTGAAGAACCGACCACTACAACAGAAGGGTCGACAACAACTACAGTTTCACCTTCGACTACACCTGAGGCGACTACTACCACAACAGAGGGGTCGACAACAACTACTGTTTCACCTTCAACAACACCTGAGGAATCTACTACTACAATAGACGGGTCGACAACTACCACTGTTTCTTCCACGCTAACGCCTGAAGAACCCACTACAACAGAAGGGTCGACAACAACTACTGTTTCACCTTCTACAACACCTGAGGAATCTACTACTACAACAGAAGTGACGACAACAACTACTGTTTCCTCCACGTTAACGTCTGAAGAGACCACTACTACAACAGAAGCGTCTACAACAACTACTGTTTCACCTTCGACAACACCTGAGGAATCTACTACTACAACAGAAGGGTCGACAACAACTACTGTTTCATCTTCCACAACACCTGAAGAATCTACTACTACAACAGAAGGGTCGACAACAACTAATGTTTCACCTTCGACAACTCCCGAGGAATCTACCACTACAACAGAAGAGTTGACAACCACCAGTGTTTCTTCCACGCTAACGCCTGAGGAGCCCACTACTACAACAGAAGGGTCGACAACAACTACTGCTTCACCTTCGACTACATCTGATGAACGTACGACTACAACAGAATGGTCGACAACTGCTACTGTTTCCTCCACGCTAACTGCTGAGGAGTCTACTACTACTGCAACCAAAGAAGTTACTCCAACCGTCACTGAAACATCTACATTTATGACTGGTACCCCTAACTTTGTCTGTAATTCTCCAGGAAAGTACCCTGATGCAGAAAACTGTAGTAGATTTCATTTGTGTATAAATGCTGTATTTGAAGTAATCGATGTTCAGATGGAATGTCCAATAGGAACTTTGTATGATTCTTACAATGAAATATGTACCACTTATCCTGTGCAATGCCCCGGAGACGCTCAGTTGTCTTGTGCAAGTGAAGGGAAATTTGCTCACCCTGAAGATTGTAACAGATATTTCACCTGTAACTGGAACTATGTTTATAATAAATATCAATTGCGACAGTACAGATGTCCCATAAACAGTGCTTATGATGTAAGCGCAGAACAATGCGTCGAATCTGCATCATGTAATTCGACTGCCCCCGCGCACGAGTGCACGAAGGAGGGTCACTTCCCGACAGAATATAACTGCAAAGACTATTACGAATGCAAGTACAACGTGGATGGCGATCTAGTTAAAAGAACAAAAATATGTGGATCGTTTAAATTATTTGATAGAGAATTAAGAAAATGTCGTCCGCGTTGTTTTGTCGACAACTGTCCTTACAGCGGTGAGGATGTTACTACTATAAAGCCAACTTAAATGTATTTATTTATATAATAGTGAGATAGAGGAACTAATAAAATTGTCCCTACAACATGGATGTAGTTTACTACCATAAAGCTAAGTTAAGATGTTTATTGTATTTATTTATGTAACAGTGAGAATAAATGAAAGATTTACAAATTATTCGATTGTATTTCGATTCTGGTCTGTACAGGGTGAGTCAACGCTGTGGCAAAGTTGATTTATCACTAGAATATAATTGTGGGGAGAAATGCACATTTTAAAGATAATTTGCCTTATACAGAGTGATTCGTTTTCGGAGGGCTGACCAAAGTTGTATTTTTTTTAATGGAACACCCTGTATTTGAGTGGATATTTATATTTTACATGGAATTATGGAAGTTTTTCGTAATAAGTATTATGTGTGTCAAAAATCAGCCGTTTCCGAAATATTAATATTTTAATATAAAAAATGACATTTTCGGCGTTACACTTGTTCGTAGCTGATATACTCGTTTTTTGAGATACATTTTAAGCAATCGTCACACATATTGTACTAGGTTCACCGTAAATTCTGAAGTGGTTTTAGTCAATTTAGAAATCAAAATTTTATTTGTGTATTGCGATGTTTCTACAAAATTGAAGTTTTAGTTTCTTTATTAGAAATTCAATATTTTCCTTATCCTCAATACATTGATGTCACATTTAAAAATATTAATTTACTCTTGTTTTATATGTTTTATAAATATCAGTGTTTAACAAATGAACGTGATCTTAATTTATAATCACTTAAAATCAATTCACTTTCTTCATTTTCTATCCTTACTGCGAGAACTTAAGAGATATTGGTTTCCAAGCAAGATTAAATTTCAAAATGAAATTTGAACTTCAATCTCTCAAGATACATTTAATGCTCTTGCTTTTGGTAAGTATCATTTGTTTATATTTCGGTTAAAAAAAGTATCTATTTATCTAACCTTTTGTGTAAATGTTTGGGCTGTTTTGCACTCATTTGAATACTTTTTACAAATTAGGATCTGAAGCAAGTAAACAAATCAATTTTTTACATTTTTGAAAGTTAGATTTTCATATGAATATTAAGAAAAATAACGTCATGTTTAATAGAAAATAAATAGCAGCTAGTGAGTTCTTAATCATCTTTTTTTTTTACTTAAAATGAATTAAGTATATTTTTCTTTTATAGGGAGTAACATTCATTTATGGTTTTCCCAAAAATAAAATCACTACTAATATAATCAGAGTAGCTCCAAGTTCACCTGAAATTATGCCCGACAAGATGACCAGAAGACAATTTGATAAGTCCGAAGATGTAATCGTGTACCATGAAAACCGTGACGACGGTATTTTAAAGTGTTTATGTTGGGCCGAACTTTTCATTATAACAGAAAATAATAAAAACAAAAAAAGAAACTTGTCAAACGAATTTGCAATAATCCTTGAATCTCCTGGAGATATAGCTGAGGAAACCTTTTCAGAAGAAGCGGAAGCTTTTACTTTATTTGACAGTGAAACAAACAAGAGCAGGACTTTAAATTTTACTCTTGTAAACAAGACAGAAGCGTTTACTATCAAACAACATAAAACGTTGCACTGTGGAGCGGGACCTATTTTAATCAAGACTTACATCGAGTGGCCGAAAAGAAATAAACAAAAAATTGAAATAAGATTAACACCTACGACTCCCTCAAAATGGCATATATCCTCGGATAATACCTCGATAAATTACGATGTAAATAAATTTACACCATCCCCGAGTTCCCAAACTTTTGATACCACTAGCACCGAAAGTTACGCTTACACAAATTTGGAAGATATAACTCTAAGTATACTTGAAACAGATGGAGTTGCAGCAAAAGTCAGTAAAAAATCTATTGGACAAAATAAAGATTTAGGCGACTTAAAGGTAGGCTCTAAACCTAGATATCACGAAATTGATGATGATGATGAGGCGTTTGAAAGCACTAGAAAGAAGAAAGTAAGTAAAGAACTTGTTCTGAAACCATCTCCAATCAACTATAGTATAAATAAAGATCGTCTAAACGATTTAAAATTGGGAATGAAACGGGAATTATTAATGCGCAATATGTACTTAAAAAAATTAAGTGATTCTGAAAAAATCTTCAACATAACGGACCCGAATTTCATTGATAATTTAGAATACGACTCTGCTTTATATTTCTTTGATTTAATGTATCTCAATAAATCGACATCCCTGTGGGCATTGAAAGGGCATCATAAATTTTTAATCGACATTCAAGTCAGTATTGAGCACGTTGCTATGGAAAATATCAATGGAACAGAGAAGGAAACGCCACAGTCAGTAATGGTGTTGGAAGAAGAAAATATTTATCATTTAAATAAGAATTAATGTAGCTAAGAACCTAAGATTTATATAATCCTGTAAAAATATGCGATATACATATTAAATTATATATTGAATTACTTGTATAAATTAATTAATTTAACATTTTTTTTTTAATTAGGAAGCAAAATTAATCTCTACTTAATGACGCAAAAATGACAATAAAAATTACAGAATAATTAAAACGTTATATAGATAAAGGTAACTTGTGACAATAGTGTAGATAGATGCATGTCGGGAATGTTATGAGACTGTTCAGTTTTATTTCTGGTTCAAGGTAATGTTGAAACTACTAGATTCATTGAGCAAGAACCAAGGAGATACAACGATGTAAGATTTGATGTATGTCATCCATCAATATTAACTGGTAAAAGGCAAAAATTGTGTATAATGATAACATGACGTGGGTATATAAACTTTGCAGTTTAATAAACTCAAAACGTCTTACATATTAATACATTTATACACAGACCGGAATATATTTGAATTTAGAATATTGTAGAATTTTTGGAATATCTTATTGCAAATTTAATGTAAATTTCCAGATTTCGTGTGAGTTATTAGACAGTGATAAGGAATGATAGGATGCGATGCCAAAACGTTCTGGTAATAATCACGCAGGTTATAAATGTTTAATTCGAAAGTCTTAAATAAACTTCTTCTGTTTATAATTTTTTATCTAATCAATATTTGTTTACGCTCGAGGGCTAGTTTTGTAGGTCTTTTGAAGACGAAAAAAAGTACTTTACTGTTTTCCCGTGGAAATGAACGGAAAAAAGTTATAAGCGAAAAACGTGAATTTACGTAAAAAATTATACAATTAACCAGCCTGTAAACAATCTTCCCCCCATTTTTATGACTGTGGAAACTAATATGTTATTGTACATAATATTTAGCATCTATAGTGATAAATTCAGCTTGCCGAAACAAAAAGTCCGTCTAACTCTATATTTCCTGGCCTATCCTACAGTAGTTGTTTTCCTCATATTATCAGTTAAGTGTCCTGTCTTGATAGATAACTGTACTTACTCCTTTCATCAAAATTAACAATAAATTTTAATAGAGCAGATAAATAAAGTTTACATAAATTTCATACCTTTAGCCTCCTATCCAAAAGAGAAAAAAAGGCAGCGGATAAAGCTTGAAGTTTAGAGGTAGGTTATACACTTTGGTCTGAAAATTTCTTCGTGAAAATTTGTTCCTACCAACACTTTCTACATTTAAAACATGAAAGTATTTATTGACGTCTCATTAATCTACCTGGAGAAATCTAAAAAATGGAAAAATCCAATCTCTGGGGTCATCATAGCACCAATAGACACCTAGTTCTATAAACATTTTTATAGACGCCCCTAAAATAAAAATTTACTACGTTGACATTATTCGAAGAACAATAATAAATCCTAATCTTTTTACAGCGGCAACTTCAATAGAGTGCTACGAGATTATCATAAAAACAAGTCGAGTTAAACAGTCTCCTAATTTTGTAGCTCTGAAATGGCAAAATAAGTAGTCTAATGTGCGATGCGTATTTCGGAAATTCTTATTTTGCTGACGGTATGTAATTTATCATTTTAATTCTATCAATATTTTAGATATTACTGACCACTGGTTAAATATTTTAGTTAATCGGTTAATAGTAATTATTTTCTTCCTGATAAGGAAGTATTGTATGTAAAAGAATCTGTATAAATATTTATATTACTTATACAGGACGTTACAATTTGGATGAATCAAACTTTAACCACAGGTAGTGCTCAAACATACTGACATTTTTCATAATGAATCATGGTTATATTTGCTCTAATTAAACATGGTATGGCGTCATTACATAGACAATTTTGAATACTGCTTTAGTGATATTTTGTAATACAAGGGCGTAGATATGGAAAAAATTGACAACATTTTTACGCGATTGACTTAGGGCTGAGTGATACTTTCCCTGAACATTTTTATTAAAAAGTATATTAGTTTGAATATTGAAATTATACCGTTTAGGTGAAAATAACACTTAAAATGTCAGATTGCGTAACTTGTAGGTGACACAAAAGATATTACGAGTATAAGAAAAATCTCAACAATTTTTTAAATTACCTGTGGTTAAAATTTGATTAAGCCAAACTAAAATACCCTCTATAAGATTATTTTTCTTTTATTTCAATATATAATAATTTTTTATATACAGTATGTCCGCAGTTAGGGTGAATAAGAGGAAAAACTCTTATTTTACATTTTACGGAAAAAGGCACACTTGATAAAAAGTTTTGCTTAAGCGTAATTCAAGACTTCAATGAAAAATACCCAGTTGTGTATGTGGAGCAGTCATCTTTACATAAAGTAGTTCAAAAATTTTTGGGAACCACTGGCGAAAACACCTAGGCAAAAGAAAAACTATGATGATGAAGATGCCGCTACTGTGCTAGTTCTACAGTCAGTGAATGAATATCCAATCCAATATCCCATCAACGGTATGTTTTCGGAAAAATCCACTTTTTTCTACAAATGGTATTGTCGCTTTTCAACATTTGCGATATTGGATTACCAAGAATGTTCATTTTAGAATACCATCTAGACGACAATATTTCAAAAAAGTAAATGTTTGGTGTGTGGTATCCTTTTATGAAATAATAAGACCATACTTCTTTGAAGATAAACGCAATGGAAACAGCTACCTGAATCTGCTCCAAACGTTTTTTACTAATGAATTGGACTGGCCTACGGAAATTGTTTTTATTTTCAGCATGACGGTTGTCTGGCGCATTCTGCTGTAACTGTTAGGACCTGGTTACAGAACACATTATCCAATCGCTGGATTGGCCGGCATGCTCCATATCAATGGCCCCCGCGATGTCCAGACTTAACAATAATGGACTTATACTTGTGGGGCCGACTCAAATAGATTGTGTATAGCAGGCCTTTGGACAATAACATCGAGCAGCTAAAACAACGAATTAGAGATGCTGTACACTCCATATTTTTGGAAGAGATTAGTTGCAGTTATAATGAACTCCTTGCACGCCTTCAAATTTGTGTGAACGTCGGCGGGGGAGTGTTCGAATAATATTTTATTATACATAATTTTTTTTCCAAATTTATTACGTTCTATAAAAAAATAAACCAATTTTGTGTGCGAATTGTTTTATTTAAAAACTCAAGTAACTTTTTTGCACGACTTTTGCAAAATATCACTTTTCAGAAATATTAAAAATAAAGGTTGTTTAGTCTCGTGACATTTTCAGATTTTTTTATTTTCTGGACACCCCTTACATGAAATGTTAGGTTTCACCATGGCAACCTCATTTTAAGTTCAAGCAAAACTTTTTATCAAGTGTACCTTTTTCCGTAAAATGTAAAATGAAAATGTTTTCCGTCTTATTCACCCTAACCGTGCACATGCTGTATATAGAGGGTATCTCGCATAGGAACCCATACAGAGCAGGTGGATATAAGCGTGTCCAAAATATTGTAATTTTACTAAACTTTTCAACTTAAAAATGACATTTTGAACAGACAGTGTCAAAACCTTTGAACATGATTAGATCGATTATAAGTTTTTCTGTTTAAACAAAATGCTCTTTATTAAATTCCCTATAAAAATCATTCATTTTACTATTAGTTCTCGCATTATATTTACTCTATTTTAAAGAACAACTTAAGGAAAGTCAATAGGAGTAAAATGTACACTATTAGTAAAATTTGTGCTAAACTATTTTATTTTAAAACGTTAAGTATTTAAGTAAATTTTACAAAATAAGTTAAATAAAAGCTATTCGTAGTTCAATTTATATTTTTTAAGTTGTAGTTTGCCTTTTTACACAAGATATAAATTAATAAACTCCACATGATAAATTTAAAAAAAAAGTCTAAGAGAATTGAGGAGACATAATGAGACAGAGATGATAGAAGGCCGAAAATAATTTCATTGTAGGTATTGGCAATTTTCGGTTTAATTTTATAACATTTTCAAAAATAAAAATTGATTTGTTTCAGAAATTGATAAATTACTTTGCCCATGTTTTTCAAAATATGGGCAAACTTCTAATAAAACTGATAAATTGATGCAAAGAAATCTTTTTTAATTTGTGCCAGATCTATCAAATACGTATACATGTAACATTGTGTCATAAAATATAAAAAATAAACAAATATAATACATAAAATAAACATTGCAAAATTTATAATAAATCGTGATATTTATTTCATTTAAAAAATCACTTGTTTTGGTTGTTACCACTTTTAGCGAAACCGAATGGAGGAAATACAGAAATGTGTCCTACAAAAGCAGTTGATTGTGAAACAATAATTTATGACCTTATTTATGATGGAGGGGAAAAAGTTAATAATTGAAAAATTTCACTATCTCTGTGTCAATATACATGCATCTAAAAATAGAGTTTATTATTATTACCTTGCAGAACAGCAATTATTTGTATTCTTCTATTCTAGCTAGTATGCTCCCAAGAAAATACATACAACTGATTAATGAAATTTATAAACAAATTCAACAGAAATCAAATTTCAAAATTAGAATGTTTCAATAATAATATATTAAAAAGTTTTAAATACTTACGTGTATTTTTAATAAATTTTTAGTAGTTTAAATTTGAATTTCATTCAAGAGATACTTGTACAGTTACTAACGTATGTGTTTATATTTCCATAATTTGCAGATTTGGTACCAGCCAGCTACAGTAAAAACAACTACAACAATAACAACAGTGTACAAAAGCTGCGAAGTCGACTTTAGCAACCACACGTATAGTTGTACTTCCAATGGAAAATTCAGTGATCCACTTGACGCAACTTCCACCAAATATTATACATGTGTTCAGTATTCTTCTTCATATATAGTCATAAGTCTATCTTGTTCCGAAGGAACCTATTTCGATCCGAATATTCAGGAATGTACCAGTGATTATCCTATTGCAGAGTGTGAAGTAACGGCCCAAAATGTTTCATGTACAGCTGAGGGACAGTTCGCAGATCTGAATGACAACACCTGTTCCAAATATTATGTGTGTACGGGATATGGTGATTCGTATATAAAAACCGAACTTTCGTGCTCACAAGGATCGTACTTTGACAGACAAAATAATGTATGTGATACGAATTATACATGTCCCTGTCAAGCAACAGGCACTTCATCGGCTACTGACGTTCCCACCTCAAATATTACAAGCCCATCTAGCGACTCAAGTTCATTGGTTGCAACTACAGCTGAAGCTGCAAGTTCTACTGAAACAGGTCTATCAAATGAAGCCACTACTGCATCCAGTAGTCTTTCAACTACCTTACAAGGCAATACCGATGCATGTATCATCAGTTATGATCCAGAGTATTTTATCTGCAGCACAAAAGGTAGATTCCCTAATTTAAATGATCCCACTTGTCAAACTTACTTCCTCTGCAATTTGCTTAGAAACGGATCATATTTGCAAACAAGCTACGGCTGCCCAGAATTATCCTATTTTAACCCTCAGCTTCAGGTATGTGACGTTAGTTATACGTGTCCTTGTCAAGGAATAACTTTAACATCCTCCATTGGAACTACAAGTCCATCTGACGACATAAATGGTTCTACAGAAACTACAACTGAATCTACAACTTCTGCTGATATCACAAGTCCAACTCACTCAAGTACATTACCAACAGATACTACAACATCTACCACAGAAGACACCACCGAGCCGTGTATTATCAATTACGATCCAAATTATTTTGTTTGCAGTGCGAAAGGAAGGTATTCAAACTTAAATGATCCCACTTGTCAAACTTACTTCCTCTGCAACCTGCTTAGAAATGGGTCTTATTTACAAACAAGTTACAGTTGTCCAGAATCATCCTATTTTAACCCTCAGCTTCAAGTATGTGACGTTAGTTATAAGTGTCCTTGTCAAGGAATAACTATAACATCCTCCATTGGAACTACAAGTCCATCTGACGACACAAGTGGTTCTACAGAAACTATAACTGAATCTACAACTTCTGCTGATATCACAAGTCCAACTCACTCAAGTACATTACCAACAGATACTACAACATCTACCACAGAAGACACCACCGAGCCGTGTATTATCAATTACGATCCAAATTATTTTGTTTGCAGTGCGAAAGGAAGGTATTCAAACTTAAATGATCCCACTTGTCAAACTTACTTCCTCTGCAACCTGCTTAGAAATGGGTCTTATTTACAAACAAGTTACAGTTGTCCAGAATCATCCTATTTTAACCCTCAGCTTCAAGTATGTGACGTTAGTTATAAGTGTCCTTGTCAAGGAATAACTATAACATCCTCCATTGGAACTACAAGTCCATCTGACGACACAAGTGGTTCTACAGAAACTATAACTGAATCTACAACTTCTGCTGATATCACAAGTCCAACTCACTCAAGTACATTACCAACAGATACTACAACATCTACCACAGAAGACACCACCGAGCCGTGTATTATCAATTACGATCCAAATTATTTTGTTTGCAGTGCGAAAGGAAGGTATTCAAACTTAAATGATCCCACTTGTCAAACTTACTTCCTCTGCAACCTGCTTAGAAATGGGTCTTATTTACAAACAAGTTACAGTTGTCCAGAATCATCCTATTTTAACCCTCAGCTTCAAGTATGTGACGTTAGTTATAAGTGTCCTTGTCAAGGAATAACTATAACATCCTCCATTGGAACTACAAGTCCATCTGACGACACAAGTGGTTCTACAGAAACTATAACTGAATCTACAACTTCTGCTGATATCACAAGTCCAACTCACTCAAGTACATTACCAACAGATACTACAACATCTACCACAGAAGACACCACCGAGCCGTGTATTATCAATTACGATCCAAATTATTTTGTTTGCAGTGCGAAAGGAAGGTATTCAAACTTAAATGATCCCACTTGTCAAACTTACTTCCTCTGCAACCTGCTTAGAAATGGGTCTTATTTACAAACAAGTTACAGTTGTCCAGAATCATCCTATTTTAACCCTCAGCTTCAAGTATGTGACGTTAGTTATAAGTGTCCTTGTCAAGGAATAACTATAACATCCTCCATTGGAACTACAAGTCCATCTGACGACACAAGTGGTTCTACAGAAACTATAACTGAATCTACAACTTCTGCTGATATCACAAGTCCAACTCACTCAAGTACATTACCAACAGATACTACAACATCTACCACAGAAGACACCACCGAGCCGTGTATTATCAATTACGATCCAAATTATTTTGTTTGCAGTGCGAAAGGAAGGTATTCAAACTTAAATGATCCCACTTGTCAAACTTACTTCCTCTGCAACCTGCTTAGAAATGGGTCTTATTTACAAACAAGTTACAGTTGTCCAGAATCATCCTATTTTAACCCTCAGCTTCAAGTATGTGACGTTAGTTATAAGTGTCCTTGTCAAGGAATAACTATAACATCCTCCATTGGACCTACAACTCCATCTGACGACACAAGTGGTTCTACAGAAACTATAACTGAATCTACAACTTCTGCTGATATCACAAGTTCAACTCACTCAAGTACATTACCAACAGATACTACAACATCTACCACAGAAGACACCACCGAGCCGTGTATTATCAATTACGATCCAAATTATTTTGTTTGCAGTGCGAAAGGAAGGTATTCAAACTTAAATGATCCTACTTGTCAAACTTACTTCCTCTGCAACTTGCTTAGAAATGGGTCTTATTTACAAACAAGTTACAGTTGTCCAGAATCATCCTATTTTAACCCTCAGCTTCAAGTATGTGACGTTAGCTATACGTGCCCTTGTCAAGGAGCAGTTACTACAACGACAACAGAATCTACAACTGAGACCATAGATGACTCTTCCGCAAGTAACTCTATAGAAACTACAACCGATTTATCTGATTTCTCGTCCACAACTTCACCAACAGTTGTTACGACACCAACCACCACAGAAAGTACCATCGAGCCTTGTGTTTTAAATGATGATCCAAATTATTTTACTTGCAGCACAAAAGGCAGGTTTCCAAATTTAAATGATTCTACATGCCAGACTTACTTCCTATGCAACCAACTTAGAAATGGGTCCTATTTACAGACGAGCTACAACTGCCCAGAATCTTCATATTTCAATCCTACACTTCAAGTCTGCGATATAAGCTACGCTTGTCCTTGTACCTAACTGTGAGTGAACGAGTCCTTCCAACATAATATTCATTTCTAAAATTTACCGTTTTTTCCAAGATTGTTAGACAAATCTATAAATATAAAAGTGTTGAAATAACCCCTGGTGATAATTTTGCGACCAAGACAAACGATCTCTGGCGTTATAACATAGTTCTGATCATTTCTCATCTTATACATTAAAAAATAAGCAATTCTCACTTGAAACGAAATATATTGTCTTGATAGTGGCAGTAAGTAAACTGTAGCTGCTGCATCGTTAAATAGATCTAAGGAATGTCTGGAATCAATGGTTTTATTCTTCTCTCCGAATTATTTTTAAAATGCTGATTGTATATCTATGTTGATTGTATATCTATGAACAAATTTAAAAAAATTTCTGTATGTAGTTTATTAGTACTAAAAATGGTAAAGTGAAGCTTCTACTTAGAGTATACTATACCTACTTATTGATATTTTTATGTTAGTAATTTAGTTAAATCATTTTGTTTTATATTTATTGGGTTATAATCTTCAAATAATATGTATAATCAACAATTGTCTTTTTTAAATTACGAGATGAAATAAAAAGATTATATACAGGGTGTTAATTAAGTATGTACAATAATTTTGTTGTAATTTGGCAGTATTTAAGGGTATTTAAGATATTTAGGAAGTAGCAATTTTTTTACAGAAGTTTTACTCCTCGTATCTTCAAAAAGAACCATCTACGGACCAATATTTATATGAATTTTTTGTGTTAAAATCACTCAAATAATCGTCTGTTGAATTTATTGTACATACTTAATTAACATGGAATGAGATCTAATATTGAATTATTTAGTAGTCATTCCATTCAGATTTACTTAATAAACTTCAGCCAAAATAATACATTTTTGTTCGAGTCAAAAGAAAATTATTTTTATTTTTAATGTATTAAGAGAGACGAAAATACCGTTTAGAATAGACTGGATAGTGCGAGTAGATTTGTTATTCTATATCAGGGATCTGGGATTGTATTAAATAGTAATTAATATATGTATATACAATATAACAGTAAGGTTTTTATTCTGTGAATAAAGTATTACAAATTTCAACTTATTTCTCCCCAGAATTGACACATATTTTATTCAGATATACGTTTTTTTTATATAGGAACAGGCACAATTTATCCTATGAATAAACATATTATAACCGTAAATAAATATTTGAGGGTTATATTACCATTAAAGCTTATGCTTATTTGATATTGAAATACCTACTACTGTTGTACAAAATACTGGAAGATCTGTTATTTATAATTACGAATGGCGATATTATTCTTCTTACTGAATGTTACAAAATGAAGAATTAGCACTATGAATTTTGAAAAAATCGATTTTTGGATAAATGGTTTAAACACACTGTTATGTGAAGAATATAAGAAAACAGTTTTACATGGGGGGAAAATCAAGAACACGAGTTTTTTGAAAAAATTCACATAGGTACTGCCTGAAAACGTGCAATATAGTACATTGTGTAACGAGTGGGGAAAAGTTGCCAATAGCGCCACGCGGACGCAGTTGACGCACAAGCGAAGCGAGTGCGGAAAGCGCCCAAGTGGCGCTATGGCAACTTTTCCGAATGAGTTGCACATACTATTTTCTATCACAAGTGCGAGTCGTTATGGGACCTATAGTATAGGGGGTTAGGTACACGGAAAGTGCTAGATAGTACAACAGCGTGATGTTATTTTAGATAGTACAACGCTGGAGCGTTGCGCTATGAAAATAACATCACGCTGTTGTACTATCTAGCATTTTCCGTGCACCCAACCCCCTACACTATAGGTCCCATAGCGAGCGCGCATGATAGAAAAGCCTTTTTGTTACTGATACTTTATATCTTGTATAGATTTTTCTTTGAAAATTCCAGAAAATCAACTTTTTTCCAACGTCTATTAAGTCAGGTGGTGTAATATTTCCCAATTTGCGACTATATAAATTCTAATTAATATACAAAAAGAAGAAAAAGAAGAAATAAATTATAGTATGTTGTAATATTTATAGATACACGACATGTCAGATTTCATTTAATAATTCGTTTATGTTAATGACACATGATTAGATATGTTTATAAAATGTAACAATTCCAGCCTATGTAAACATGCAATATCTTTGTGTTTCAAAATAAAGCATTTATGAAGCCAATATGTCTATTTCTAAATTCATATATGGCGCCACGATCTGTGTCACCAAATTACGTTATATGTCAACGTTAAAATTTTAATCTATAGTTACTTAATCTGACAATGTCAGTGTATTTTTGAAATGTATTTTTTAATCTTATGTTTGAAGGTAAAATACATGTAAGAATTAGTCCCTCTAATTAACCCTGCACTTTATTTTAAGGTAACATTTATTTTGCACATCCAAGGTTGCACATCCGAAACAAAAGTCGTAGTTACAGACTCACATATCCCAAAAGGATCCTACAGTGTAAAAAGAAGTGATTTTAAAGGAATCGACGCCAATAAAATTGATATTGTCTTAAAACTAAACAACAATAAAGATAGTGAATGTTCAGTATCAAACAATGGAATAGATCCTAATTCATTGAACAATCTTCTTCCTCAAAACGGTTGTGAAGAGACTACGACTCCTATAGCTTGCGAGGAGACTACAACAATTCCTTCCACTACTAATTGCGATCAAACAACAGAAGCTTTCACTTGCATCAAAGAGGGGACCTTTGGGGATCCAAGTAAATGCGATGAGTTTTTTATCTGTCATAGAAAGAGTAGAAGTGATTCAACCCTAGAGAGAATTAAACTTACTTGTCCGAAGGGAACAGCATTCGACAAGGATGTAAATAAATGTACAAAAAGAGCCAGAATGTTGTGTCTGTCCAAAAGAGAAGATCTGTTTTGATTTATAAATAAATAAATGATATCCGTCAAAACGACTTGTTTATTGTTTTAAAAAAAGAAAAAGAAATCGCGGACTTATCTATGTAGTTTTAAAATAAACTAAATGATTTTCCGCACGTTGAATAAAAGTTTGTACAGGGTGAGTCAATGCTGTGGCAAAGTTGATTTATCGCTAGAATATAATTGAGGCAAAATATTTCAAAGTAGGTTCGTGTGGGGAGGCAAGAAATGCACATTTTAAAAATAATTTATTTGAATTATATAGGGTGATTCGTTTTCGGAGGACTGACCAAAGTTGTATTTTTTTAAAATGAACACCCTGCATTTAAGTGCATATTTACATTTTACATGGAATTGTGCAACTTTTTCGTAATAGGTACTATGTGTCAAAAATTAGCCGTTTCCTAGGTATTCATATTTTAATATAAAAAATGACATTTTCGGCGTTATACTTGATCGTTGCTGCTATACTCGTTTTTTGATAAACAATCTAAGCAATCGTCATACATATTTGTACTAGGTTCACCGTAAACTCTGAAGTGTTCACTGTTTATCAATGGCATACACAATGTTCACAAAATTGTACCAAAGGCAAAAAATTTGTTTTTTTAAAATGGAACAAACACCCTGAATTTTTTAACTGGATGTGAAAAAATCTACAACTTTCATAATAGGTGTTATATATTAGTTCTTCATATTTTACGATATTTTTAGCAATTTCTTTATTTTTTATGAAAATATCCTAGGGAGGCATTGATATGGGAGTGAAACAAAAGAAATGCTGTCATTAGTTTTGACTGTTGAAGTAGCGTTTTTCTGTGATTCAAATAGTTATTCTTTATTGCTTGTATGGTTTTGTTCTTACCTGTTCGTAAGGAATTTCTCAAGAGAAGAAGCCAAGCATATCTTGATGAAATTTATCCTAATAGATGGATTGGTCGAGGTGGGCCACAGTCATGGCCTTCTAGATCATATGACCTTACACCACTTGACTTTTTTGTGGGGGTTTGTAAAGGACAAGGTATATAGAGAGCCACTAACTACTCGTAACGATATGTAAAATAGAATATGACAAGCTTGTCTTGATATTATACCAGAAATTGTACATGATGTTCACATTGATATCGTTCGCCGAATTAACTTGTGTATTCAAGAAAGAGGAATTATTTTTGAACATCTATTGTAACACTTAATAAAACTTTGTTTTGTCAATAAATATACAGGGTGTTAATTAAGTATGTACAATAAATTCAACAGACGATTATTTTAGTGATTTTAAGACAAAAAGTTCATATATACATTGGTTCGCAGATGCTTTGTTTTCAAGATACAGGGTGTTAAACTTTTGTAAAAAAATTGCTGTTTTTCTGTTGTAATTTGGCAGTGTTATTTGTAGTGTTAAGGGGCTAATTTAACCCTAATTTGATTAGGATTGATATAATTTGTTAGTAATTCACATTTTTTTAAATTCTTTTGTTAAGTCGAGGTCAGGATCTTCATTATTATTAGTACAATTTTTACCAGCAGTCTCCTTAAACTTAGAAAATTAAGTAATAATTTATTTGTTAAGTGAATAGTGAATTTCATATTATTTTAATAAAAAATACTTCGGTAAATATTACTTAAGACGAATCTTATGTTTGTGCCACCAAACAGTCTAAACAAGTCGATAGTATTTATTTATGTACTATGAAAAATTATTAGTCGTCTATGTTTTAAAAAATGTTCACAAATAAAATTTAATTTGTTTATAATTTGCATACTTTATTTCGATAAGTTTTTTAAAATCGTATATGTGAAAATATCTCAAAAAGGAGCAAAGGAAGAGAGAAGACTATTTCATCATCCCAAAAATAACGTAATTTACGCTGTTCATTATTTATTTTATTATACAACCTTAAATGTAGGTACTCGTATTCATTAAATTGAGGAAGTAATTAATTTCTATAAGAAATATTAGTCACCTGATATGTTAACGACTGGTTCAATGACGTTATATTTAAGATCCTTATTCTCACTCAAGAAAAAATTGTATTACAGTACATACAATAATTTTAATTAACTTAATGAAGTTGTAATAAATCGGTATTGTGTGTTGCATATCTTTAAAAATGTTAATAATTCGTGATTCCTACCAAATTTTTGAATAAATATGATAAATACAATACTCAGTTTTTTTGTGAGTCAGCCTGAGGTGCAATCGCTCAGTTAAGTAATAATTATTTAAATTTACCTTTTTTTTCTCGTTCTCTGTAAATGAATGATTATAAAACAAAATCATTAACCACTATTTTTTTATAAGCTCTGAATCATCCTAAACAGAGTTAGATGTACTTGTTAAACCACTTACGATGATTCACATCCGCCGTCACTTTATATACAGGGTGTCCCGATACTTAATACAAAAAAATCGAGTACAAAATATAAGTTCTTCATAAAAATTTAAAATTTATAATTCAAAACGTTTTTTACAGGCTTTTGAAAAAATCTCCCCTGAAAAGTTACGTCCTTCAAAAGTTTAAAAAAAATATATTTTTTTATCTTCTATGTATGTCAAGCTAAAGAAACCAAACTTGGCGAACATTATCTGTCAAAAAAACTACGTATTTAGAAATTTTTTCAACCCTGAA